ATATATATATGGTATATATATATACTATATATATAACCATCACAGTTTATGTTCATTAAGTTATGTTCAATAATGAAACAATTTTTACTGTTAAATTAAATAATAAACGTTTAATAATAAATTTAAAATTAATGTTTTTTATAATCTTATAATAATCTTCTTTATAAAGAGTACAACTCAAAAATCGATATTATTATTTAACCCAACAGCATTTCCAATAAATTAAAGAATTTTGAATTTAAAATAAATTTTTATGGAAACACCTGTTAAGTATGTTTGACAAAATTCTTGTCATAACTATAATACATAACTCTGACAATACTGTAGAATAGTACAATCGTTAAACCATATTTTTCTTGATTACTTGTTGATAAAAGGCAAGTAAAATATTAGATTTATCTTGACATTTTATATCAAACTACTAATAATTTACTCAAAATTCATATCTGTTTATAATATGGACAATATTTTTTGTTTTCTACACTACAGTTTATAAACTTAAACTTTTTCATATTTTAGTGCAGAATATTATTTTTCTATTAAGATAATGTTAAACATTTCTAAAGGAAAGTATACTTCATACAGATCGTATGTTCTTAAATAATTACATAGCTTAATATTTATTTTGTATGCTCCGTGTTACGTGCATTTTGTATCAGAATTATTTATAGTAATTTTCTTAAATAAAAAGATATTATAGATAATAGACAATACTCTAAATAAAATAATGAAATAGCGATGAAAAGTGAAATGAAGTGATTTAAATGTAAAAATGCTTAGTATATTAATCAATATCACTTGTTAAACAGATCGGTAAAAAATAAGTTACAGTCGAATTATTAAATATATTTCACACAGATATTTTTAAAATATGCACGCAAGATTAATTAGAAAAGAGGTATTATAGTTTATAAATTTATCGTTTATAAGTTTTCGAATCGAAATTTCGGAATTAAGTCAGTGCCAATAAAATATTTAATTTTCTTTTTAAATTATTTAAGTAATTTGTTTTTTATCATTATCTAATACAATCAATTCGAAACTGTCTTTGTTATATCTCTTTATATTCTTTTATTTTTAGAATCATTATTCAATATTGTAGTAGAACTACTAGATTCTTGACTATTACTTTTTATTTTGCTATTTCGTTCAACAAATGTCACATTACTATTCGTAACATCATGAACGCCATTTTGTACGCCATTTACAACTTTATCTATACCATTAACTCTATAATGATCAACTGCGCTTATTTTTTTTTTACTCGATGAAGGACAAATATTTTTAATTTCTGTCGATCCAGATTCTCCCAAGCCTGCAAGGGCGTAATCTATGCAATTCAAAAGAGATTGATCAAATGACAAATCATTTATACAAAAAAGAATATATCGAATAATTTTCTTTATATATTTTTTATATTCATTAAAAAAATCTATATAATTTAATTAATATTAATTAATACATATCTATATAAGTTAATAACAAAATATATTCTATACATACCGTGTAAATTATGGCAATATTTATTGGTATTGTTCCATTCTTCTCGTAGACTGAGATTGAACATGCTGTAATCTGGATTTCCAGTAACTTCTTTTTCGATTGTCAGGAACTGTGGTAATATGTTCTTAAGTTCATCTCCTGATAATGCTGTATACGTTTCAAGCAGCATCAATCCTCGACATCTATAATTATATTAAATATGATACATAGTAATAAATTATTTTATTACATAATATATAACATTTTCTAATTCTGACCTTGGATGAGCGGGTTCTCTATATATATCTAATTGGAAATACTGATTGTTGATGAGGAAACAACGTCGACGCTTGAAAATGGTGAAATGTGAATCATCGCGTTGAGCGAGCATGTTCAAATAATCTCGATGAGTCAGTTGTGTTTTAACTTCAATCACTTGGCCACACATTTTTGGGCGTCGAATCGTATGAATATAAGACCAGTGACCTGTCAATTTAAATTTATTCATAATATGACATTATTGATATAGATAATATTAATATTAAAAAAAATCATATAATAATTATATAATAATTATATTTTTTTGCATACCCTTTTGGCCACGTTTACGAAGACGAGCTTGCATCTTCGGATTGTTACTTTGGAGGTAGTTATGGACAACATCAAAGTCCTGGAACGGTGGAAACTCAGAGTCTGGTGGCAAAGGATCTTTGACAAGAAACTTGACTTTCCTGCTACTCGCTCGTAATCTATCTCCAATATCGATACCCAATTTTTGGCACACGCATTCGATCATACGACAGATCTTCGTCTCAAAATCCTGTGAGTTGTCTATTACATCGAAATAAGGATGTCCGACCCAGGCGGCGGCCGCTTTGTAATCGAGTTCCCGAGCTAATTCAACACCTTCCGATCGACATGCATGTTCTTCCGTCGAATAAAATTCTTCAGCACCATTTGCTGCTGAAACCATGTGGATGATCTGATTATACCTATTGTCTCGAAGTTCGACACTATTCCATCCGTTCGAAGCCATCAGTAATTCCCATTTATCCTTTGAAATAACTAAATTGAATAAAACAAAAATTAGTCTTAAAATTTAATTATAAAAAAGGAAAATAAAAATTTATAACTTGCTCACATGCAGAAGCATCCATGGCACCACGATCACAGATAATAAGACAATTTCTTGTGCAGCTGTCACCCAGCTGGAAGAACGTATTCTCTATCTGTATCATCGTACGTAAAAGATTCTCTTGAAATTTAAATCCTGAAACAAATCAAGATAAATTATTAATCAATAAAATATTAAATCATTTAATATACAACAAATAAAACTATTTTCCATGATTTCTTTATCCTACAAATCAACTTTTACGCATGAAACTATCCCATTGATCATATCTAGCTATATACTTTTTTCGCGTTCATAATTGTTGCATAGTAACAAGCTATGAATTATTTTGGATATACGCATTAATATACTGTTGATAAGTGATCACGTATATATTAGTATTTTTTTCAAAGAATGACTATATATAACGCTGTTACAAGCGTTACAACAAGATGATTAATATAAATTTTCTCGAATAACGTATCACTTAAAAAATAATTTTTATATTTTAAATATGTATAAAATATTTTGTCTCTTTCTCGATATTA